TTAAGCAAGTTATATGAAAATTTCATGTGCATATACATAAATCTGTATACATATGAAAAAATATTTACAAATATATCCTTAAATTTTTTAATATTTACGTGTTTCCCTGACGTTTCGTATCCTATGTTTTCTAGAAATCATGTTTCTCACGTTTCCCGTTTCCCGTTTCCCGTTTCCGTGCTACTTAGCCTGCAACATGGTCATCAATGCAGTCCCGTTGTCCCTCAAAAAGAGCTGCCGGAGATCCGGTCGGTGATATGTCAATACTCAATAGCTTCATTGTCCACCGCCGGCTAGTTCCGACATTCTTCAGGAGTTGATGTGCCAAGTTATGCACAGGTGTCCACATTAAGCACCGTTTGTAAAAAAATAGATGATGAATCATCCAAATGTGGTGTCCCAAATGCTCGATTGATCAATTACTCTGTAATGTGTATCAATTGTTAATTTTAAGTTCATTTTTTGTCTTCATTCACTGGCTATGGAACTTTAGTGATTGGCTTGTTTGTTATCTTTTGTACTTAAAATCCATTTTCATCTTATATGATGATCCTTCCTTTCTTAAGAATATACTACCTCCCTCCCTTATTGAGTAGAATCTTTGGTTTTTTCTAGGGTAAACTTCGGTCAATCATTTTAGCTCATATATTTATCTATTTATAATTTTTATAATAATTCGGTGATCAGGTTATCTAATTAATTACGGAGAAATGTATATCATCATTATATATTTTTCAGTTGGGGTGTACACTTTTCGGTGAAAATATCCTTAAAATGTAGGTTTCGACGCCAGCTTTCCATTTATGTTTCAATAGTCAAATTGTACTTTTTGCTGACACAAATGTCTTTAAAATAAATGAAGCTATTAGTTACATGATATGACCTCCAAGTAAGTAAAACTGCAAAGCTAATAATGGGTACAATATGACGCTAAATAAGCAAATTTTCCCTAATAATAATAATTATACTAATAGCAGGATGCAACGTATATTGAGTAAGACTTAAGTCCTCTAAGGACCTATTGATTTTCAGCTCAAATCAGTATTAACTCAAAGCAACATCAAGTTGTCTTGAAGTTTTAACTGATTTGAGATACAGTAAGAAACATATAACTATAGGTAAAATAATGGAGATATACAACTTTCTGCAGTAGTTGTAGGGGTGGGTAAAATGATGGTTATCAACATTAGTCCTATTGCTGCTCATCATGACACATACTCTTGCCCCCTTATATACTTTTCCTACCATGCAAAAATACCCTTTATTGGGCGCACAATGAGAGTCCTTTGAACAAATACACAACCCTTCCAAAGCACAACCCTCCTTCAAAATGGTCAACCCTTGTTTGAGACCCAAAACTTGATCAGTCCAGTTACTTGAAAACAGCCCAACAGGATCATATATGTCCTTGACCTTCAAGAACTCCCCAGACTTTGGGTACTTGTGGATTGCCCTAAGAAAGGCAACATTTCTGTTCTTCCCCCAGTGTGGTAAGGCCCCATACTTGAAAATGGCAAGTTGTTCAATTTCTTCTATGACATTTTGGTAAAGCCTTGGAGACATAGGATCCTTGCTTCTATAGTAGGTAATGTCGAAATCGATGGCGTCTTCTTGTTTCCCCAAGTAGGCGGTTGAAGCTTTAACATATCTCATGAGGATGCCACCATAGAGTCCTTGACCACACATCGCCGCCTTGGGCTCCAAACCCACCAACTTTTGCACATCTGCTATGAAACGTTTCACCTTTGTTAGGCTAATGCTGAATGTTGTTTGGTGGAAAAACAACCCTGGGATTCTGTGATCCCATGGACATGCAGTCCTTAACCCATCATCTAAGCTGTCTAGGCAAGATCCTGATGATTGCAATCGGTTTTGATATCCGATTATAGGATACCCCGTAAAGCGATCGCCTATCCTTCCAAAAACAAATATTAAAACAATGTTACTAATACATTCAGTTCAATCAAATCTCCATTTCAATAGAAGTCGAAATATCCAAAGTTACAAAAGTTAAAAAGCGTATCTATGAACTTATCTAGTCTAGTATGTTTAAATTTGGTCGATTATGAAGGGTTCATTGTTTTATCTAGTCTAGTATATTTATATCTCAAAATATAAATATATTTTTGCGTTTCCGCGAGTTTAAAAAAATAGAGGGTTTAGATGTTCTTACAATTTTAACCTCTTAAAACTTAAAAAGGAGAATGTTATTTACACACCGTTATTGGTGAAGCCGTATCCAGCTACTTTTAAAAAGAATCTAGAAGCCTTTCCAATGAAACATTTTCCATCCGCATCATTGAGAGATTCCTGAATTTGCTCTGCACAAACAAGAAGTTCATATCTTTATTACAAGGTCTGTTTATATTTTATTCCCGTTTTAAATCTAATTAAGAAGCTCCTATTTAATTTAGAATTTTCCACATTTGTGTGATATATGTGCAATTGCATTCACGTGTTACAATCGAGATGTCATCTATCTAAAACCTTATAAACACCAATTAAGGTAAGGGTACAAATGATATAAAAAAGTGTTGGTGTAATACAGTGCATTAAGAAGTTGCACCCGTACCCTTTGTTCATTGTTTTGCCCTAAATCTATTTAGTCATTTTCTTCTACATTCGTTAACATTTCATATTTTCTCCTTTTTTCAATTACCTCATTTAAGTTTAGTAGAAATAATCATTCTTTTCCATTTTGTCATCAATGATTAAATCTCTAATCTATTTCAGATAAGTCTATGCCATTTCCATATATCTATTTCCTATTATACTCTTCAAATGAGTTTGCTATGTTTGTTTTATAGTTTTGTTTTCTGCTTTTTATACTTTTAGGTATATTGTATGAAAGATGTACTCTATAAGAGGTAGTCACTTAAGTGTTCTTCAAGATTCCTTTTGTGATGGCATTTCTTATTTACTCGATCTGAGGGATTAGTACAGTTCTAATTTGTGAGATCATTCTGTAAATTGAATTTGGTGGTGGTCCTTGCTTTGAGTGTGTAGTCATAGGATTGCGAACATTAACAGAATTGCAAAGCGTGCTAAAACGAAATAACAACAAGTTTTTGGAGCAACAAAATGCAAAATGAGTAAATACAGGAAAAGGCTCACAAAAGTAGAGGTCTCAAAGTATATTAATGCAAGGAGCATAAATCTATTTTCAAGCTGTAAAGTTTAAGGGATAAACCTTATTTTGTAGTACCATATGTCTCTATACAGTCTCATTGGGAATGAGGTTAGGTTGATGTCATTTGTGCCTTTTAGTTCTTTCTTTACCCATGATGTTTGGGGTTATTATAAACTAGCCATCCACAAAAAATGTGATACATAATGTTTCTCCATTTTTTATTACCATGCTTATCTTCGGTGTTTTATGTCTCATGTATTAGACTGATAGGTGGATCATTTGGATACCCTATCGAGGTGGCTGGCTAAGCTTCTATTGTAATTAAATTGGGTGTGGGAGAGGACTGACTATTAAGCATGTGAATAGGGAATTTTGTGGTGAGAGGTCACTAGGTAGCATGTGTTGTCATATGATTATGTACCATGTAGCAGCTACTTGTGCATGTTACAAAGAATTGTGCATGATGAGTGACACTTAAAGGCATGAGCAAAATTTGATTTTTCTTAATTTTATTTTTCGTTTCTTATAGGGAAGTTCTTTTTGTCCGAATTTTATTCCATTATAACTCGTAAATATCACATTCCATTTCCTGATGAATCAATAATTATCTAATTCCTTTCCATTGTTGTAAGCTATGGCTGTTATTGAACTGTGATTATGCCATAAATTTGTAGTCCTTTTAAATGTATGATATTGATTTTACACATCTTGTAACATTTTCTAAGTTCTTGCTTATCCATATTTTTTTTTACTATTAAGTTTTAGTTCACATGTGATACTTGTGAGCTTAAGAACAAACCATGTACAAATTAGAGTGTGGATAAGCATGCCGGCTTACTAGAAGAGAGACTGGCTTAGTGGAAAAAGAGGAGTATGATATGCTCATGTTTGCCTAGCTACAACTCTAAATGATTTTCTAAAATTGAGCTACAACTTAAAGTGATTTCCTAAAATTGAAGCTTATATATGCATTAATAATTGTGGTATAACTTCTAGACTTGGTGCATACTTATTCTCAAGGTTGGTGCATACTTATTCTCATTGACAAGGTTCAATTTAGGATGCATTCATGACCCTCTAAATACTTCCTTAATTCATGACCCTCATTGACAATGGTTACCACATTTCTCATCCCTTCTTCTAACAGTTAGTAAACAATTTCATTATGTGTGTTCAATATAAATAAAGAATACATTTTATTTATTTTATTTGGTCATATGTTAAATATAGTTATAGCATTTCATTTATCTTTATCTAATGTTGTAACTTGTAAGATGCTACCTTTGTAATGGACTTCTACTAATTTCTCTCATCTATATTTCTATGAATTGAAGTCTCACCTTGGTGCATGAGCGGAATGGTTTCGCACTCATCAGTATATGTAATATCATCAATTATTACTTCAAATCTTATAATTAACACACTAGGTGTCTTTCTGGGATGGATATTGTATGGAAGACTACATGGTTGTGTATGCTTCACAATTTAATTTTCTACACAATAAATAATATTGGATATTAATCATCTCACACGTGCAATGCACGTCAAAAAACTAGTGTTCTTATACATGTTGGTGATTAGATTCCACGTGAAAATAAAGAATCTCCGAAGTCAAAAGTATATTCCAGCAATAGTCCAACAATCTAAAAGATGTTTTCGTACTCTTAAAAATAATTATATAATCTCCTTTTATAATGGATAGGGAGAAACCCCATATTTTAATAGTCCAATCAAACATCAAGTGAATTCAATGATAATTCTCCTTGATAGGTTTAATTAGAACTCACTAGCTAATTATGAAGTAGTTACCTAGAGTTCTTGATGCCCGAACCAAAAACCAAGGGAGAGACCGGAACCCTATGAAGTCATTGCGGCCATCACCAGGCGTGTCTATAGGGACGCGATCATCAACGCGATACACGACTCTTCCCTCGCCCGGGAGCCAAGACATGTCGCCAAATTCGTGTCGGGTCCCAAATGTAGCCGCTTCATCCCCCAAGTTTGTGTCCTCCTCCTCCACCAAGCTCATGGACCGCTTAAACATGGGTTCGAGCTTTAGAGTCACCTTTTGCACATGCATCCATTCAAATTGAACATGTTATATATACTAGAAATTAGAAATTGTGTTAAAGTATTTGTCCCACATCGGAAAGCTATAAAACAATAAAGCACTATATAAGGCTTCGGGCTACTCTTCCTATCAGGTTAATCTTTTAGAATGAAACATCGGGTCTTAACATGGTATCAGAGCCAAGTCCGGTTGTGGTTTGACTTCTTGTTTAGCACCCATGATTAAGGGTAGTGTTGGGTTCATAGGCCCGATAGCAGGCCAGCCATTACTTGCTGAACATGGGGACCATCAGGGCCCATATTGGGTACGGTCCACCATAAGGATTTGACAGATGCTCGTTGGATGGACCACGGGGAAGCCGACGCTCTTCCTAGGGGTCCAGGGCCCAACAAGGGTCAGATGATATTCCGGGATCCTCGGCTGCAGTACACACTGGCCGTACGGATCCTCTTCCTTGAAGGATTCTAGGCCCAATTTGGCCATGATCTACCAGGATGTCGTCAAGACGCTCGGCCTCAGCGGCCTTTGCATGCCCAATGAGTGCGTGCCAGGTAACATTCTAGTGCCCTCGGCCAGAGAGCTGGCATGAGCCGCACGGAGCCCAGCCCTTATACCTCCAGATCCAGGAGCTCAGATCAGGGGACGCTCGTCCAAGGCCCATGGATTTGGTGGTTGGGAAGCTGACCACCCACAATCCTCCACATCAGCAACACTACATACCCCTTGGTAGTATAAATAGTAGCATTTATTTCATTGTAAAGGGTTGACAACTTATTACTCTTAGCAAATAGCAATTTTCTTAGCTCTCACATACGAGATAAGAGGAACGGCCTCGGAGCTAGTAGTTGAAGTGTGTTGTATATGGACCCTTATTATCATTTAATAAGTTACGGTCCACTTACTACTAAATATCTGATTCATCTTACTTGGTTGGTGCTTATTCCATAAAACTCTCTTCTCAAAACTCAAAGGAAACGTGTTGGGCCTTTGGGTCAAAGGAATAAACCTCAACAGGTAGCTTGTTAAGGGTTTGTTTGGCCCATTTATACACCTGATATTGTCTAGCCCGGTCGGACTGAGGGGGCGTGTTAAAGTATTTGCCCCACACCGGAAAACTATAAAACAATGGGAGATTTCCCAAAATAGGAGTAAATAGAGTTTAAAATTTCAAAATAGGACTACTATGTTTTTATTCCTGAAATAGGACTAACATTACAGTATTTACTGTCATCTTGTAGGTGTGACTATCAAATAGTTACAGTACAGTGCATTTAACATGACAATATTTATTATAATTAATGACAGTAATGTTCAATTATGGCAATATTTTTCATACATGGCAGTAAAAAATCATGTGTTGGGAAGAAAGACATACTACGTATATTGTAGTCCTATTTTGGAATTTCAAACATCATTTACTCCCACTTAAGGCAATTTCTCTAAAACAATAAAACACTATATAAGGCTTTGGACTACTCCTCCTATCAGGTTAACCTTTTAGGATAAAATTCGGGTCTTAACAAATTGTTCAATATAGGATTAAAACATATATAAAGTTTATAACAAAATTAATTCAATATGTTTTATTTTTCAAATAGTACTTATTTAATCCTATTAAAAGAATAAATTGATCAAAACTACTCATAATAGGAAATGATAATCTTATTTATAAACTTTATACTCCTCTTTGTAAATTATTTACTAAAACCTATGTATTTGGTATAAATTCTTGGTCTTCGAGTCTTCATCGAGTAATAAAACAATAAATGTATATATTCTGTATCAATTTTCTTGAGAAAAAAAAAAGTTGCATATTCTTTTTCATATAGTCCAAAAGTCAATCACCTTTTTTTACCTTTATATATTTTTGAACTCCGAAGTTTTTATGTTGTTCTTTTTCGTGTTGTTGAAGGGCGACGAAAGTGATTGTTGTATTCACAAAATGACTAGTTGTTATACCGTGGGAGCAGCCCACCGTGAACATGCGCTCCCACAGACAAAAATACGCGTGTTACTGTTCACGCGTGAACAGTAACTTATTTTTTATTTTTCCAGTGTCCAGTAGCAGAGTAATGTGACTCGCGTGTAAAGAAATGTAACTCACGCTGATCAGAAATGTAACTGCAGGCAAGTCCAAATGTAACTTGTCTAATACGAACTATAAGAAATAAAACATTGATTTCCTTGAAACAAGGAGTCTATTTGCTCAATTACTTTACGTAAATAGTGAAAATGTTTTGTTTTTAATATTAAGACCATAAATAATTTTTTCCCTTAAAATCAGTTTTTTTTTTTTTTGCCAAAATCATTTTTTGCAAAAAAATCATTTTTCCGCCATTTTTTTCTCTTGCAAAAAACTCGTTTTTTTGTTTCAATAGCATGTGTTTACTTAAATAGTGAATATGTTCTGCCAAAAAATATTTTTTTTTAAATCACTTTTTTGCTAAAGAAATCATTTTTTGCCTTGTTTGGCAAAAAATGATTTTTTTGTTTCAATAGTAGAGCTTTATGTTGCGATGTAACTTATGTTATAGAAAATGTAACTCACGTTGATGAAAAATCTAACTTAGGTCAATGTAAAATGTAACTTGTTAAGGTAAGTCCAAATGTAACTCGTGTAAAGGAAGATGTAACTCACGCATAAAAAGATGTAACCTGCGCATAAGAAAATGTAACTTCATATACTATCAAATGTAAACAATGAAAACATGAAGTCTAATTGCTTAAATTTTTTTATCGTAAATAGTTAGTATGTTTTGTTTTTTGTATTAAGGCCATAAAAATGTTTCAAAGAAAAATAATATGTTTTGCCACAAATATTAATTTTTTTTGCCGCAAAATCATTTTTTTCCAAAAAAAATCATTTTTGTTTGCAAAAAATATTATTTTTTGGTTTCAATGGATGGATTTATTTCGTGATGTAACTCGTGTTATGAAAACATGTAACTCATGCTAAAAAATCTAAATTAGGTGTATGCAAAATATAGCTTGTTGAGGCAAGTCTAAATGTAATTCGTGTATAAGAAGATGTAACTCATGGACAACAAGATGTAATTCGCCTATAAAAAGATGTAACTTCATATAATATCACATGTAATTCCATAAATTGGCTATAAACATAACTCACACATATGAAAAACGTAATATAATTCATGTTTTATGAAATTTAAATCGAAAAAACAAATTTTATGTCTTAAAAAAACTAAAAACATATCAAAGAGATAAGAAATATATTTTTTTATAAAGAGAAAGAAATATATTATAGAAAAAAAATTATGAACATGAAGATAAAGAATTTTTTAGATGAATTATTATGTATTGATAAAGAATAAAAAATATATTCAATTATAATTTAAGATGAAGATAAAGAAAGTAGGATTGCAATTAAATTTTTAGTATTTTAATTTGATGGGAAAAAAAAAAGAATTGAACAAAAGAAAAAAAAAAGCAAAAGAAAAGGAAATAACAAAGTTGGAGACAAAGGAAGTGGGAAATTTATAATTTGCTAAAAGTGGGATCGGCACACCATACGTAAGGTGGGCCGATCACACGGTATAATTTGCGCAAAATGACTCTGTCGTTTACCGACATGTTTAACTTTATAATATAAAAAAATACCTTTTTTTTAAAGAAAAAAAACCTTGATACTACGTAAGAAAGAATGAAAAAGATACTCGTGAATAATACTTCGCTTTTGTATACTTTTCGTCTTTTTCCGCGTTTGCTCATCAAAATTCCTATTTCTTCGATTGTCCCCTCAATCAATGACGGATAATTTCTAATAATTTTAAAGAAATTATTATTTCAAAATAAAATTAAAATATAGACAAAGTGCACAAATAAGAATCGTTATGTTTATTCTTAAAATATCTTTTATTTGATTCTATTAAAAGCATTAAATTTTTTTAACTATGAATAATTTAGAAAGAAAATAATGATAGTGAAATTTGTGCACTTTAATTTATCATATTTTAGTCTTATTTAAAAAAAATCTCTTAATTTTATCATGCTTTTTTGCATTAGTATTTTTTTATACAAATATATACACTATGATGATAATATTCAGCGAGATCGAGGAGTATGTAGTTGATATGTAATTAAGAGTCAAAGTTAATTAATGAATATTTGGAAACTAATTGTTGCTTAGGAAGTAAATGTTCTTATAGTTCCTATTGCTAAGATTAGGAAAACAAGAATTCTACAATAATTTTATTGAAAATGTTGCATGCTCACTAATTTAACATCTCACGCTTATTTAATTTCTAAAAATCAACATATTTCTTGGAACTACTATTATGCTAATTAGTATAATAATTTCATGCAATGATATTGTTAATAATGTCAATTTAACATCTACTAGGTAATAGATAACGGGAGAAATTCCCGAAATATGAGTAAAAATGTTCGAGAATTCCAAAATAGAATGATCATGTTTTTATTCTCTAAATAGGAGTAATTAGGATGTTTTTACTTGGACCGTAATTCGTCCCAGACCAGACCAGACCAGACCAGTTCAGACTAGACCAGATCAGACTTGGATAGTTATAAAAATAGAAAGAACCCAGACCAGACCAGTTCAGACCAGACCAGACCAGACCAGATCAGACTAGACCAGCAAATTACAGTCCCAGTAAAAACATCCTTATTATCGAACGTGAAAAATGCTTCTATGTTTAATAATGTCTGATAGTGCCAAAACATGGCTGTAATTACTCTTATTTAAAGAATAAAAACATGATAGTTATATTTACAAAAGTTTTGGAATATACAAAGGTTTTTAGTCCCGATAACTTTCCTTGATAACGTCATAACATTATATTGCGGTATAATTTAAGTATGGTAGCACCATGCACGTATTCTACTTATTATATTTTGTAGAACAAAATATAATATTGTCTTTTAATCAAATGAATTTGTTTCTTATATCAAAGTAATGCTACCTTCATTCTTAAATAATTGCAACATGTGAAATTTTAATGTAGTGTTCATGTGTTCTACTTTGATGACATTACTGTATCATTTACTAATGTATATTCTCTCCGGTTCTGAAAGATCTTTACACTTTTCATTTTTAGCAGTACCAGAAAGATCTTTACACTTCCTTATTTGCCTTATTTGGCAAATAAATCTACACAAAACAATGTCAAACAATGCCAAACAGTGCCAAACAATGTTTATTTCCTTAAAAATTGTGAAGTCAAAGTATCAAGATCTTTTAGAACCGGAGGAGTATTAAATTCTACTCATTTTAATTTTTCAAAATGTGAGCTTCTTAATTTGTGCTAATATTCAAGTTGTGTCAAAAGTGAAAGTAGAAACGTTGCAATTAGGGTGTTTTACCAAAATACGGGATTCATCAACATCTATTGCCAAAAAACGGGGTAAAAACTAGGTTTTCCCAAAAAGCGGGAGTCGGAATTGGGTGTTCCGACCAGAGGAAGGGTTTAAAAAAAACACCTCTCCCTCCAGTCGGATGTGTGACTTCCGACCAGGATTTTTTTTTTTGTTTTTTTAACTCCTTGTTAATTCCTTATTATTAAAGCTTTGATTTTAATAGTTTTTTAAAAGTATTGTTAATTCCTTATTCTAAATTCCGAATTAAAAGTTGTTTTAAATTCTTGGCATATTTTTTAAAATGAAAATTATGAATTTTGGTTTTTAAATTTTTTTGATTGCTTAATATTATTTTTTGATATTAATCCGGAAATAGTAAATCCCAACTTAAATCCGATATAGGGATTTTTAAACAAAATAAAAAATTGGTTTTACTCCTGTCGGAAGTCCCAATTCCGACGAGAGGATTTTTTTTAGAAGTTTTATATATAGCGAATGAATTACAACGAAAAAAAATCAATAAATAATAAAAAAAAAAATCATGTCGGAATTGGTAAATCCGACAAGGGGAAATTAGAAATTAATAATTAATAATTTGAGTTAAATTTGAGTTTAATTAATCGAAAATGTTAAATTAATAATTTTAAAATTCCATCTATATGTTAAGTAAATCATTGTCAATTTTACAACTCATGTTCATGATATAGGCTGATTACATTTCAAATGATTGTATCCCTACTGGGTCGAATAGGGGTTTTTATGATCCAAGGCTAAAAAATGTGAATCACAAGTGTGCATATTAAAATTTCATCTATATATTAAGTAAATCGTGGTCAATTTCACAATTCGTATTCATGATATATGCTAATTGCATTTCAGAAGATTGTATCCTTACCAGGTCGAATTGGGATTTTTATGATCCGGGTCTAAAAAATGTGAATCACAAGTGTTAAATTTTATTTGATTATATTTTTTATCTAATAAAATTTTATCTGATTATATTTTTTCTGATTAAATTTTATTTGATTATATTTATCTGATCAAAATCTTAAGCCATAAAAATGAATTGAATTGGTAGGTGGAAGTTAGATTTAGGTGATTAAACTTTGTCAAACTTTACACTTTGAGCAGTCCCGTATTAAACTTTACACTTCCTTATTTGCTTTATTTGGCAAACAAATCTACACCAAACAGTGTCAAACAGTGTCAAATAGTGTCAAACAGTGCCAAACAGTGTACTGTACAGTAAAGTCAAATTTATTTCCTTAATATATGTGAAGTCAAAGTGTAAAGTTTAATAAGGACCGGAGGGGGTAACAAGTATGAATATTAAAATTCCATATATTTGTTCAGTAAATCATTGTCAATTTTACAACTCGTGTTCATGATATAGGCTGATAACATTTCAAATAATTGTATCCCTACTGGGTTGAATTACGGTTTTTATGATCCGGGTCTAAAAAATGTGAATCACAAGTGTTATTATTAAATTGTCATCTATATATTAAGGAACTCGTGGTCAATTTCACAACTCGTGTTATAGGCTTATTGCATAAATTTCGAATGATTGTGCCCTTATTGGGTCAAATTGGAGGTTTATGATCCAGGTCTAAAAAATGTGAATCACAAGTATGGATATTAAAATTCCACTTATATGTTAAGTAAACCATTGTCAATTTTGCAATTCGTGTTCATGATATATGTTGATTACATTTCAAATGATTGTATCCTAAAAAATGTGAATCACAAGTGTCAATATTAAAAATTCATCTATATATTAAGTAACTCGTGGTCAATTTCACAATTTGTGTTCATGATATATGCTAATTGCATTTCAGAACGAAGATTGTATCCTTATCAGGTCGAATTGGGATTTTTATGATCCGGGTCTAAAAAAAGTGAATCACAAGTGTTAATATTAAATTTTCATCTATATATTAAGGAACTCGTGGTAAATTTCACAACTCGTGTTAATGATATAGACTGATTGCATAAAATTCAAATGATTGTGTCCTAATTGGATCAAATTGAATGTTTTATGATCCGACACATAAAGTATTGGATTTTGGGTCACTTTATTTTTGTACAGATATGTTTGGACAAAATATATTGAATTTTGATTGAATTATATATGATAAAATTTTATCTGATTCATTTTATCTGATTGAACTTATCTGATTAAATTTTATCTGACTAAAACAAAATAGATTGCTTTTTTCGAAAATAAAATAGACTGCTAGTCGGATGTGGGCTTTCCGACAGTTTGGCTTGTCAGTCCCAAAACTCCCGTAAATTGGTAATTTTCTCTTCCAATTAAACATGAGGGATTATACCTGCGAAATGACTCCAAGTACCCCTAGGGAGATCCTAGCTGCATTGATATCAGGGTCACCTTCTCCGAGTTGCCGCACAGAAGCATAACCATTTTCCGGCAATGCCGGGGTGACAATCCGAATTCCGGCAACGTAATCGTGAACGGAACTTCCCAAGCCCCATAACGAGCTACCATGTGCTCCTGTACCCATCATACCTCCCACCGTCAACCCCCACCAGTACGGCGCGCTTGTCACCGCCAAACCCGCCTTCGCCGCCTCCTCGATAAGTTGCCGGAGGGTCACTCCGCTCTCTACCGTCACGGTCATGCTCCTGTTGTCAATCTTTAACGTCCGGTTAAGGTACTTTGTGCTAATGAGTAGAGAACCGGTATCGCCGCCATCGCCGTCGTCGTCATCGGGGCAGACGAGTTTAGGAATGCTATGGGAGAAGCGAGTCACCACCTTCATTTTCCGGTTCTCTTTTGAAGCGCCGGCGACAATGGCGACGAGTTCATCCTCCGTCGTCGGGTACGCGACCTCGGCCGCTCGGCATATGCGGCGGTCGGGGAATGCGCCGTAGGAGTTGGTGATGGTGCAATTTTTGGTCCCATTGGTGCACTTGATGGGATCCTCCGGTGGGCTACATTTCACCGGCAAGGATATTATCATCATTACGAATAAAAACAAATGCCACTTGCCAGCTTGGCACAGAAAATAGCCCATTTCGAGCTATGTTTAATTTTAATTACGTACTAATTACTTGGGTGGGACAAAATAATTCAAAGGTAATTATGAATTGAGGTGGTTTAATTTAATTTGGGGGAATATTTATATTCTGAAGCAACGAGATCCGGCAATGAAATAAGGGAGAAATTTCCTAATGTAAATGTATGACCCTAAAACCAATATAGAGTATAGACCAATCATATACTATTATCGCATTAATTGCAACATTGGAATATATACACTATTCATGTACTTTACTTTGACTACATTTTATTTATTAATGTATGTGATTTTTTTTTGAAAAATGTTGTTAAATTCGTCTCATTACTAAGTTTTATAATCTGATTTTTATTTTATTTTTACTAATACAGAATTAAATATAATGACGGTCAAAGTTGTGTGTTGGCAAACGTGAAATGTTGACTGTTGCAACTAAAAAGAGACGAAGGAAGTATTAATTTTAATACGGAGTATATCGATTACGAAAACACGGAGAAATGTCCGAGATTACATACTCCCTGATGCAATATTTCTTTTCACCCAATATTATAATTAAAATACCAATTCACTTTATCCAAAAAATACCACTTAACTAGATGTATAGAGGTAGAATGTAGCACCGCAAATTATATGGTACATCCGGGGTGTACACGTACACCCGGTAATTTTGTAATTTCCTCCAACTTTAAACCTTCTTCTCCCATTCCATTATTGCACGTCGATCTCTTTACCATAGATATCGTTGCTCGACCTTCACCATGCTTCATCGATTCGAGCTTCACTGTCACCGTCATCGCGGCGCGGAGAGATTTTCCATGGATGCAGTCTGACTAGGAGCAGATTTCATCTTGTTGCATCCTAATTTGTTGGAGTCTCACCTGGGTTGCTCAATCGCCGGCGCTCCAATCCGTCAAAATTTAGGCGTTTCTGGTCTGTCGCCATTTTTCCATCTCTGGTGCTGCAGAGATTCTAGATGACAACGTTGATGTTGTGTATAGATTAGATTTTGGTGATATTGACCTGACAGATCAATCCAACATTTGCATCATCGCTCTCACATACCAAATGAGCATAACGCTTAAACGAAATGAGCATATACAAATGAGAATTTGAACACATTAGCGATTTCTAATGACCTTTTGAATTTTTCGATACTCATTTTATAATTATGTATGCTCATTTGGTTCTGACATTATCCTCATTTTAAAATGCTATATAAATTCAAAATTCAAAAGTATCATGATGCTCAATATTATACTCCTAATACTCAACAAAATAAATGTAATGCTCATTAAAAGTTCATGAATGCTCATTTGACAAAAACCGTGATGTTGTGGTCATTTGTAAAATGTCATATCAATGTATATTTTAAGAGTATCATATCACATAAAATTCGCATATTACAATTCATAGAGATTGTTTATACATATAATTCAATAAGTTTTATCAAAGAAAAAGAAAATTAGAAAATATGGAGCGAAGATGGTGATGTTCATCGTTATGCTCCTAATACTCATTACAATATGTTTGATGCTCACTAACAGTACACTTATGCTCATTTAACGAAAATCGCGATTTTTCTCTTAAATTACCAATACATTTGCGTCTAAAATGTTCGACGAGTTGTACTTTATTAGTTTTTTAATACATTTGCGTCTAAAATGTCATTTTGCTGTAATGTAAGATTTTAATTTAAGAATTGCGTTTTTGTGACATTTAATCATTGAATTTTAATGAATCTATATGACAAAGAAATAGTATGTATAGAGTCTATTTATGAAGCTCGACTCAGGTGACTCTCTTATGGGGTCATATACTCAAATGGGATATTATGACATCATCATCACCCAAAATTGTGAAAGTGATAGTGTATAAATCATACAAAATTGTTTATTTGATGTGATTATCAAATAAATAATTTTGAATGATTTACCATTACTAAGTCATTTTCACATAATAATGTTCAAATTACCAGCCCCTCAAACATGATTTCTATTTACTCAATTTTTATGGAGTTTTTTTCTATTTTGAATGAGGTATTTCAGCCATTGCACAAAGTTAAAAGGTTGCATTGACTGTTTATTAAAAGTATTCCCCATCAAACAATTTCACATCATAAAAATGATCACCAAATAAATCCATAATGGTATACCTTAACAAGTAATCATTTAATATATTATATCCAAGATAATAAATAAATTTATACGGAGTAATTTTTTTCTTTACTTTTCGAACGTGGATCTCATGTAAATACTTAACTTGGGTCTTTTAATATGTTTTCCCAACTCGGTTCCCGCACCGCCGTCCAAACAAAACAACATTATTTACTTTTGAGTATGTTAATCATTAATTTCCTTCCTTTTTGACAACGTAAACTTTAAAACTTAATTCATAAGGTTTCTAATAAGAATTACTTTTGACTCTTTATTTCATATCGATGATATACGTAGGGTGTTTCGATCTACTTCTTAAAATTACTTCTTGATTGAAAAATGTAGAGGTACTTCTTGATGCTCCCAATTGCTCATACAAGCAGTTTTGTAGGGCAAATTATACCTTATGACCGGTATACGGTGAGCACCGTATATCGGTATACGGACTTTTTTTTCCCTTTTGTTTTTAAAAAATGGTAATAACTTTTTTAATTTTGATCTGATTTTTATAAAATTTATATAAAAATGATACTTGCAGCCATGGATTTTCAAGAGGCTAGTTCCCTTCAAATCCAACATTTTTTATTTTTCATGATCTTTCAAATGAGACCAATATTGCTTATGTAATTTTAAGAAATTATCGAACTATTATATTAATGAGTATTGGATTATAAGGAAAATCGAATTAAATTTAATACAGAAAAATAATTATGTAAATCACAATTTATCTTAAAATTGTGTATATAAAAAATTTATTGTAATATGTATTTATACATGTGAGCAGGGGCGGATTCAGGATCGAGAGATGGGGTGGGCTAAGCAGAAGTAATTTTTTTTACCATACATACCAAATTTAGCCCAGGGTTGTTATCGAACAAAGATTTTTTTGAATTATATACTCGAGTTCGAGCTTGATTTCGAATCTAATTTAATGAATTGAGTTTAACAAGTTTCGAACTCGAACACGGAGTAGGTTTTGAGTTTGAATAATTATTCAAGCCGAGATCGAACATAGTGATGTTTCGATCCGAACACGAGCCTATCGTTCACATATAAATTATACTATTGTACATATCATAAAATTTAAACGTTTTAGTGCAATTTTTATAAATTTATTAATGATTAATAAAAATTTGAATACTTATTGAATAATTTGAACATGAATCTATTAACGAGAATAGTCTAAACTTCTACATTCGAGCATTGAAATCCAAATTTGAGATAGTTTGGATTTCAGGGACTACAGCATGTGGAGGATCCTCATTGACTAGATCTTGCACTGTTGTAGGTATAGGTTCAGAACTCCCTTCACCAGTTTGACGATTCACTTTCGAAAAGAATGATGAAATTAACTTCTTTCCCTTCTTGGCAACATGTTCATTATCCATTCTAAAAAACATTTTCAATATTGGTATATATTAAAATACTTATATATAAAAAATAAAACTATTTAATTATGTACTCAAAAATTCAATTAATAATCAAAACGATTGTATGATTCCCTAACCCTAAAACTCTAAAATGCTAAAAATAATAATAATTAATACATCAATAGTTTAATACACAATCGGTTAATCACAATTTACAAATTCACGGCAGAAGTTCATAACTTCACTGATTCACAAATTATTTGTGGGGTGGGCTGACAAATAATTTAGGCTAGGCTGAGATTTGAAAATGTACCAATACTATTAAAAAAAAAATTGGGCTGGGCTGAAGCCCACCCCTGGCCTAGCATACATCCGCCCCTGCATGTGAGTTACATATTTTTATGCGTATGGTAAAGTTACATATTTTTACACGTAAAGTTACATATATATACACACGAGTTGCATTTGGCCTGCCTGAACGCGAGTTACATATTTTTACACGTAAAGTTACATATTTTTACACATAAAGTTACATATTTATACACGCGAGTTACATATTTATACACACAAGTTGTATTTGACCTGTCTGAACGCGAGTTACATATTTTTACACGTAAAGTTACATATTTTTACACGTAAAGTTACATATTTATACACGCGAGTTACATATTTATACAGACGAGTTGTATTTGACCTGTCTGAACGCGAGTTACATATTTTTACACGTAAAGTTACATATTTTTACACGTAGAGTTACATATTTATACACACGCGTTGCATTTGGCCTGACTGGACGTGAGTTACATATTTCTACACGTAAAATTACATATTTTACATAGGTTAATATAATAGTTCGATAATATGTTAAAATTACATAGGCAATATTGGTCTCATTTGAAAGATCATGAAAAATAAAAAATGTTGATATAAATTTTATAAAAATCGGATCAAAAATAAATAAAAATTATTATTATTTTTAAAAAAAAGAGAAGTAAAAAAATAATAAAATTGTATGCCGGTATACGGTGCTCACCGTATGCCAGTATACGGTGCTCACCGTATACCGGTCACACGGTATAACAACTGGTTTTGTAGAAGCTGTGGGACCAGCTTCTGAAAAATTGATTCTGGATGTACTTCTGCTTTTCTAAATGAAGCAGAAGTAGTATCAATTCCAAACGCTTCGTAGTAGTAGTACTTTACGTATTCGGCTAGAATTTGTTTGTAATTTGGAAATTTCTAGTTTACTCTACATTTTACTACCTCCATCTCAAAAAAATGACATTTTCAAAACTTTGACCAACTATATATTTTTATCGAATATTATTTATAGTATAAAAATTATATGAAAATGTCCTTTATTAAAAGTACTTACATTTTTTTTTGAACCCGGTAGGCAAACCACCAAAATCAGTGGGGCAAACGCCGGGGAACATTTGCCGTGTTTTATTAGAAAAGAATAATCGTACAAAGAGAGAGGGAGACTAGGCCAAAACCTCTCCCAAAGAAATCAAACGACCTGAAAAGGTAAAAACAAAAAAGACCCGAGGACTACAATAGACAATCGCAGTTAAAAGCCAACTCGTAGAG